ATTTATTATATTTGTAGTTTCTTTTCGTAATTTCAAAAATAATAATTTTTTTTTATATTTTATCCTTTTTATATGACCAACAATTATTATTTTAATCACTCAAAAAATTAATATTTAAATATATTCAATTAAAGATAATATAGATAATTTATTCAATAATTTATTATAATTTAAATAAATTTAATAATTTTCTAAGAGACGTAAAATTTTGAAAATGCAAGTGTTTCCAAGCCAATGGAATTGCAACATGTAATGGGAAGTAGCGTGATGATGTGCAGTGAATTTATTCCTTTATTGAGGGCAAGGGAAGAGAAAGAGACGCATCCTTTTCAGGGCAGAGGGAAAATATAGAGGAGAAGATGACAAGTTGGGTTGGATAAAGAGAGGCATTTTTATTAGGTGTGCCTCTTGAGGAGACTAATTAATGAAATTTTCTAATCACATGTGCATTTCCAAGTTGAAATCCTTGCTTCTTCTTCACCACTTTAAGGTTAATAGACAAAGAATCGTTGAAATTATACTAATTATTATCTCTGTTATATAATATTTATCAAATTTAAAATTTCACGTTCCTTAAAAAAATTATTAAATTTGTCTAAATTATAATAAATTATTGAATAAATTGACTATATTACTTTTAATTTAATACTAATTCTCTAAAAAAACTTTTAAATTTACAGTACTATTCCCTTCTAAAAAAACTATTAAATTGAAAGTATAATTATATGGTCACGGTACAAAAGGTAACGATGGAAAAAGATTAACTATATTACTTTTAATTTAATACTAATTCTCTAAAAAAACTATTAAATTGAAGTAATAATTATTGGTCACGTACAAAAGGTAAACATGGAAAAAAAAATTATTACTCCTTGAAACTATAAATGTGACAAGTATTTTAGAACAAACTATTTTCTTAAATATAATAAGCATTATGGAAGGGAGGTAATAAATGTTATGTTAAGCTTTAAAATTAGGTAACATGACAAAGTTAATGATCATTATAACAGTCGAGACCAAATACATTATTTAACTCTTAAATTTCAACAAAATGTTGCACCTTGAACTATAATATCGATCTTGTGGCACCCTAAATTTCATCTTCATTTTTTGGCTTTTATATGCAAAATGTTGGTGTTAATATAACTTTTGGAATTTTTACAATTTTTATTTTTTCAATAACTGTTCAATCAATCTAATTTTATAAATTGAAGTGTTTAATAGGTCAAACAAAAGTTGAAAGTGCCATAAAATTTTTTGTAAAATGTAGACGGTGAATTTATGGATTTAGCCTCCCATTGAGCCTAACAGTCAAAGATAATAGTGTAACAAAATTGACAATCGCCCAAAAAAAATAAATAAATAACTGAGAAGAGAATGGCCAAACTGTGACTAACAGCTCAAAGCCAAAATGTCAACTATGAAGAAAATAACATTCTTCTATCATATTGTGTTGACAGGTACACAAATTCTCACCCTTATGTCAAAAAATAGGGGGGAAGCTATTGCAATTTCGTTGAACAACAAAGAGCAGAAGTGACATAATTGCGACATATAAGCAACATAAGGCTTTCTATCTTTTCGGTATATAAAAACCACATTGTGCGATATACCCATTAACATTATATAGATATGTGTGTGAAGCACATATCATATATGACGTGGTGCAGGCTGTGATGCAATGGTTCGATTTTGTGTTGAGCAGATGAGATTTTCATAAGCTCAACCATCTCCTAAGTTCATCAACAAATGTACTTCTAGGAACCTCTTCTTCAACTGTGGTTTCGAGGTTCTTTATTTTTACAATCGCTTTCTCTAGCTCCTTTTCGCCCACGAGTACCATCCATGGAATTCTAGACTCTTTTGCACAGTCAATGTGCTTACTGAACCTTGTACTCGCAATGTATTCTGCTTTCAACTTGGCATTCCACATTTCACTAGCGAGCTCTGCGGCTAAAGATAATTTAGTTTTATCCCCTAGTATGTTCAGCAGAACTTGCGTCTCAGTTGGTCGGGTTGTCTGCCAACACCCAGAAGAACAAGATTCATCAGTTCAATTTGTTATACAATTGAATAAATGTCTGAACATGACGAAAAGACAAAAACCAAATTCACTAGCTGTTTAACAATAGCAAATCCATACAAGAACTATATCAGTTGATTATCTGTTAATAATAGTTTTATTTAACAAAGAGTGAACTGGAAATCTTGGTTTGATTAAATTAAAGATCGAGTTCCATTTTGGACGGAATTGGCAAATTCATATGTTATTTCACTTTTGCAGATCTGAATTCTGAAATCAAAAGACACAGCAACTTTTTCAACCAAAGAAATTTAAAATTTAAAAATAAAGCAAAACCGGATGCATCTAAATAGTTAGGAACAGTGTTGGGGATGATAAACAATGGAATAAGAAAAAGTTCAAGGAATCTGGTTAGTAACGACCTTCGCAGTAAAAGGAATTATCAAGTAGAAGAATGAATATAACTTTGGAATAGGGTTTGTGCAAAGAATGCTAACCAAATCACTTGGTTCAATTCTAGTCTGTGTTTTCTTATGTTCGTCATATTTTCAACTCCATTACAGATTTCTCCTTTCCAAAATCTCTTGTTAAACTGATAAAAAATATATTAAAAAAATTCAACTATTACTGCAAGTGCAGACTTTCATTAAGTACCTTAATTTGTTTTATCAATTTCTGGGTCCACTGAACCATGATCATCTCTAATTTTGAATGCTGAAGATAGTGATCAAGTGTAAAATACATTTAAATTCTAAAATAATTTTATCATAATTGCCAATCTAAGCATGGTTATTACTAGCTCAGTGGTTCATCATCTAACAGAAATATTAGCTAACATTCAGATATATATATATATACAGAAGTCACATGAAATGTCATTATCACCTGGTTCCGGTCCTTTAGAACCTGCTCCATCATGGTAAATACTCGCTGAAGATTGATAAATAATTTTCAGAAGAAACTTAGGTACCTGAATTCAATGAAAATAATGAGATCTAGATAAGATATATCATGTCAAAGAAAAGATGAAATCAATATAAAATAAATTTCGATTGTATTTTTATATATGCTATAACACTCAATATTGTGAAAAATTATGAGGATCTTGAATATAAGTCTTATTGGGGCATATAGACATCACATGATTGTCTATTTTATATTGTTCATTTGATATAGATATCTATATGAAAATCTCTGAATGATTTAAATTACTTGAAGCACAATATTCAAATTCTCGAGAAATTATATAGCGCTCTGTGTGGATTACTTAATAATAATCCTTGAAGGATTAAAACCCTTGAAAATGTATTCAAGTAAATTATAAAAATTTCTATGCGGATCAAGGAAATCTAGTGGTATAATTCCCTTAAAGATATAGCTAAACAAATATCATGTGATCTATGGTGAAAAATAAATATATGACATGATTCATTGTATTTCTATTCTTCTTTGATGAAATATATGAAAATCCCCAAAGAATTTAAAATACTTGAAGCATATAAAAGATCTTTGTATGGATTAAAGAAATTTAGGCATGTGGTATAGTTACCTCAATATATATATGATAAAGGAAGAGTACATAAAGGAAGGTTACATAAATGATCTAATTTGTCCATGTGTTTTTATAAAAAGGTCAACATCTAAATTTATTATTATTACTGTATATGTTGATAATATAAATCTCATTAGACTTCAGTAGAGCTCCAAAATGCAGTAAAATATTTAAAGAAGAAATTTGAAATGAAAGAATTTAAATATAGAAAATTTTGTCTCGCTCTAAAGAACGAACATTTTATAAATAGAATTTATGTCTATTAATCAATACATATAATCCAAAGGACTGAAATGATTGTATGTGGATAAAACTCATTTATTAATGAAACTAATAATTGTGAGGTCATTTAATGAGATAAAGAACTAATTTCGAACTCCAAAAATGATAAACTCTTTAATCCTGAAAATACTATATCTTTTTGCAATAATGAAAATATTATATACTGAAGTATCATAGTACCATACTGAGTTTATATCTAAAAGATCATTATACTCATAATGCTTGATATATGATTTACATTTCTTTATTTAGAAAGACGTCACAATTTATGAAAAAAGCAATTAATATATCTAATTGAAATTGATATTTTAATATGTGCAAAGTACATATAGTTTGCTTGTATAGAAAACAAGTTCCATAATATTGTAGGAGATAATATTAAAATATATTATATTCCATAAAGGAATGATACACTTAAGAAAAAAACAAGTAGCAGTATCTTCATCAGGGAAGAAATAAATTTTCAAAATATAAAGAATACTGTACTCTTTTTCCTTCATTAAGATTTTTTTCCCACTGGATTTTTTCCTAGTAAAGGTTTAATAAAGCATATTTTTTGTGTAATGGACATCTAATGGAGAGTGTTATGAAACTATATAATATAATGAATGTCCATTAAGTATATTAAATAAATTATTTATTTCTCCAAAAGTTATGTCCTTTGAAATAAAAGGTTATGTCTTTTACGATGAATGGTTATATCTTTTAATTTATAAAGTTATATCCATTAAGATAAATGATTATATTTTTTAATATATAAGATTATATCTTTTAGATCATATTTTGTATTCTATAAATAATTCCTTAATTTTTTGGGTTAGGTAACTAAAATCCTCGTACTAGAAATCTCTTTTTACTCTTTTTACATTCTTTATTTTATTTATATTTTCTATATTTTAATAACAAAGTGAATAAAATTTAAAAAATAATAATAGTTTTAAGAACATGGCTAATTACAGCAAAATGATTTTTAAGACAAACAAAACGGAACGAGGAGCTAAGTTTCAGCTTTGTCAATAGATTTTTGTGTCTCTCTCTTTCTTTGACCCACTAATCAGCCTGCCACTCTCCGCCCCTCTCGTAAGCGCCGCCTCCGTCCACCCCATAGCTTCCCATTTATATATCCATATATGCCTTACTTGTTTTTTCAAGTTTTTGAAGCTCTCTTGGCGCGTCTGTGTATATATATATATATATATATATTCTCGTGGATTGGTGGGAAATTGCAGCTAAACAAATATGGAAAGCATAATTCAAAAGCTAAAGAAGTTAGATGCTTATCCAAAAGTCAATGAGGATTTCTATAGCCGCAGTTTCTCCGGTGGCCTTATAACCCTTGTCTCTTCCCTTGTCACGCTTTTCCTTTTTCTTTCTGAGTTCAGTATGTCTCTCTCTCTAATTATCTTTTCTTATTGGTTTATATTGATTCTTTCACATTGCATATATATATTCTTTTAATGATAATATCTCATGAATTATGGTATCCTTTAAAGGGTTTTCTTGAGAGGACAAGAACAAGATCCTCTTATAATTAAAATTTCAGTTGCAGAAGCATTCTAAATAGCAAAAACCACAAAAATTTGCATAATCGACAGCTAAAAGTTCCAGAGAAGGAGAAAAATCATTCCCAAAATCTGCAAAATTGTGATTAAGTATATAAATTATACAATTAATAACATTTAAAGAAATTATTAAGTGTCTTAAACACTTTAATTAATCAAGAAAACAATAGATAAATAGTAAACATAGTATGGTATTTTAAAAGATTATGTATATATTATTTAAATCGTGTTAAAGCTATTAAATTTATTATTTTTGATCTATTTTATTTTTATTTCATATTTATTTTTGAAATTTTTATTCCTATTTTTAATAGTGTAAAATTTTGATTTTATGACATGCAGTATTTTTTTATTACTTTTTAGTATAAAAATACTAAATATATAAAATGTACTCATTTTTGTGCTTATAAATTATATTTGTTTAAGTAATATAATTTTTAACTATTTATCTAAAGTGATTTTTGTCATTTGTATGTCATAATTATATAGTTGGAACAAAAATATTTAAAAGCTCAAAAATTAACTTTTTAGTTATTTAAATCTTACTTTGAGTCATTACAAAAATCTAAAATGGTCAGGGTTGTTTTAGTCCATTAATTTGAGTCAAAGTGGCATCAAATGCAATTTTTAGTGAAAACATGGACTTTTGTCATTTAGCTTGACTGTTTATTTACCATTTGTGTGAAAAATAGATAATAAAGGAGTAAAAGTGAAATTTTATTTAAATCGCAAGAATATAATTAAGCAATAATCAAAGGGCTAATTGGTAAAAATATTATTGTGATGTGACAACAATAATTCTCACGCGGCTTAACTTGCTTGTTTACCGTTTCTGTAAATAATAGATAAAAAGGGGTAAAAATGAAATTTTATTTAAATGGTAGAAGACCAATTTCTTAAATATAATTAAGAAATTTTATTTGATTGGTTGATCAGATTAATTTGACATTAATGTTGCAATTTTTCCTTTATTACTTATGATCTGATCTCTTTAAGTTGGCATCCTGTTCATTGCATGCCTGTTCTTCTTGAAGGATTATACCTGCACACTATTACCGAGACACAGCTTTTTGTAGATACTTCAAGGGGGGAAACTCTACAGATTAACGTAATCATCTCTCCTCCTCTAAGTTAATTAGCTCCTAAGATCTTATATATGTATGTGTGTGCGTGTGTGTGTGGAGTTGTTAATTGTTGTTGATGTTTGGTTCATTTTTTTTCTGTGTATGTGCAGTTTGATGTCACTTTTCCCGCCATTCCATGTTCATTACTTAGTCTTGATGCCATGGATATCATGGGGGAGCAGCATATTGATATAGTATGCACAGGAAAATATCAATTATTGTTGGTTATCTACATTTGCTTGTTCTTGGCTGCTCATTCAATTCATTTTATTGCTTCTGACTATTATTTCTTGAAAGCTGTGTTTATTTTCTGCGTCTGATTTAAGTTTTTCGCTGACAGAAACACAATATAACTAAGAAGAGACTTAATGCTGATGGTGAAGAACTAGGAGTCAGGCGTGATGGGATCGGTGCAAAAAAAGTTAGTGAGAAAATAAATCTCTCTCGCTCTCTCTCTCTCTGTCTGTCTCTAGTGTGACATGTTTCTATACATACAATCAATCGTATCCCGTTCTTCAAATTTGATCATGTATGCAAATTGTACTATTTCTTGTACTGATTATATTGTTGTTAAATACAAATCCACCCTTGTTTATATTTACATTAAGGGCTCAATTTCTCAAAACAACTCTCAAATTAGAGTCAGTGAGTAACATACAGGGGTGAAGTTTGATTTTTGACTTGGTGATTATTTTACCCTTGATTATTTTACCCTCTTCTATATTTTCACCAATTTTTCTGCTTCTTTTCATGGCTCATTGTTGATTTTGTTTGCTTGTTGTGTTTATTCTTCTTTGTTTGTATGTTAACTGCCCATTTCAATCATCCTTCTCTTATCCATGCAGATTGAAAAGCCTTTACAAAAGCATGGTGGCAGACTTGAACACAACGAAGTTTATTGTGGCTCATGTTATGGTGCAGAAGTGGTATATTAAACCTCTGACATTGTGTCTACAATTTCCACTCAAGTTTAAAGCTTGTAATTGGCTGAGGCATTACTTTGCATAAGTCTCATTGGTTCCAATGAACAACTCTTAATCTAAATAATTGGACTTTTCTTTGTCTATTTATCATCCCAAATCTGTCTCTCTCACATACACACAAAGAAAAAAGAAAAAAAGAAAATTTTGGTTGCTTCTTTTAGAACCTTGATCTTGGAATGACCTTTATCAATTCAGTCATCATCATCAATAGGGATGTTCCTCGGCTTCTTTTGCAGAAATTTATTAAGGCTAATGAGATTAGCATATGAATTTCTAGCTGGGTACTAAACCGAAGGGGCTCATGCAGTTAAAAATATATCACGAAATATCTCTAGAAGAGATGGGCCTAAGCAGAGGAAAAGAGATTTCTCATGGACGGAAACAATTTACTTAAGAATTTTTAAATGGAGCGTATTAATTATTTTGGACATTTGCCTACTTGGTGTTGCTGTCCATTGTTTCTACCGTGTAGTTTATTAACGTCTCTCTTCCTGTTTCTCTTCTTGACCCTTTCATATGCAGTCGGATGATCAGTGTTGTAACACATGTGAAGATGTTCGATACGCATACTGGAAAAAAGGGTGGGCACTTCTAAGCGGGGATTTGATTGATCAGGTTAGTTGCTGATCCTTCTGTTGTATTGCAGACAGTTTTTTAAACATGCTATACGCTAATGTTTGAAAGGATATGAAGTGGCTATTTCTATTATCAACATGTAACTTGCATTAGTACATTTTGCACGTACATCATTCCCCTTCATCTCTCCTTCCCCGTTCTAATGTGGCGATGCCAGTAGAACATCACATGGACCTTTTTCTTTGCTCATCAATTTAATTGACATTCAGTGCTCTGTTGTTGACTGTGCCCTCAGGAAAGTGTGGGATGGTTTATGTTCTCAGTTAATTGATGGAAGAGGTTGTATACCCAGTTCATGTAGGGGGTCAAATGCTGAAAAGTAGGGTTTTTAATGGATCTTAATTGCAAAGCTTCTGTGAAAGTACTGAGTTGATGAATTTTCTTTAAAGGGTGACAGATTATTGCTCTCCAGAGCGTTGGGGTTGCACTGCTCTAGTTTCGAACCAATGGAGTTAGAAATTAAAATGACATCCAGCTCTTTTAACTTTATCAATTTGGTTATTAACTTTAATTGGGGTTATGCTCTCTTAACCTTATTTCAAAATTGTCTTTGTTAACGTGGACCATATGCAAAAGATAACAGGAGATGTCGGAAACAAGCAGATTAAGGAATGGGGATTGACTCTATCTCCAAGAGCATATTGATTGTGGAATTATGTAACAAAATAAGCAATAACTAGGGGAAAAGTAATGCTGCAAAATTAAATGCATGTCTTTATTTCATAGATGTGCAAAATTTCCGCCTCTTTTTAGGTTGTGTAGGCCTGGGAGATTATTTATTATTTTGGCTTATATTGTGCTAAGTTGTAAATCCCTTTTGGTTTCAGTGCACACGGGAAGGCTTTTTTCAGAAGGTCAAAGATGAAGCAGGTGAAGGATGTAATATATATGGGTCTCTGGAAGTAAATAAAGTCGCTGGAAATTTTCATTTTGCACCTGGAAAGAGCTTTCATCACTCTAATGTTCGCCTAGACGATTTGCTCTCTGTGCAATCATATACTTATAATGTAAGAAACATTTTGGAACCTTCACATCATTGCAATGTGATTGAGAAGTTCTTTCTGGAATTCTTGTACTAAATTCTTTTTCTCCAATTAATTATGTTGCATTTGAAATCTGATGTAACCATTGTTTTATCTTTTATGATGCGTGATATAGATTAGTCACAGGATCAATAGACTGGCCTTTGGTGACTACTTTCCTGGTGTTGTGAATCCACTAGATGGGTAAGTTTTCTTTCTCCTATCTTTTACAGCTATTTACAATTGAAGAGATGTTCAAGAGATTCCTTTTTTTTTTTTTGGCATTTTTGACAGGATAACTGAACTTACTTAAAGTTCATTTCTTACATGCATGCTTATGTAAGTGTGTTAGAAAAATAGAAGCCTGCATGTGTGCGCCTATGACTCGTGTTTTGGATTTTGTCCTTATTACCTGTAGCTTCTCCATATCTTAATGTTTATTTTTCAGTGATCTCATTTCATCTTCTGTTTCATTATGTGATCCACAATTTATCTGTTCTTTCAGGGGACGCTGGTTGCATAGATTTGATGAAGAAGGTACACAGCAGTATTTCCTCAAGGTTGGTCTGATCAGCACATGCTGTTTCTGACTCTAGGATAGATTGTTCTCCAATGTTAAATGTCTTTGTACTTGATAGTGGTAGTTGGAAAATCATTCAAAATTGTGCATGCCTACTGGATTTTTTGCTTAAATGCTATGCAGAAATAACTATCAGAACTTAGAATTTCAATTGTTTTAGGACTTTAAATATATATATATATATATATATATATTGTTACTGAACCATTGAGCTAGAAGCATTAATCATCCGCATTTCTTAGCATGTACTGTTCCTAACATTAGCATATGTACAAAATATAGCGGATCTGTTTCCTTCAAGATCATTGATTAATGGGTGTGATTATTAATGTGCTGATTTTCAAATTTGGAGTATTTGAAGACTGTATATAAGGGAAGTGGATCTTTGCCACTGAATATCTGCAATGTTATCAGCAGTAGGGTTGAATGTTTCTGATAATGTTCAGATAGATTTACTATTTTGATTTTGCAGGTGGTTCCAACAATATATACTGATATTAGAGGCCACGTTGTCCGCTCAAACCAGGTATTACTAAACACTCCAAATATAAAAGATCCATTGGTTTTTATTGTATTCATGGGATCATAAACTAAGAGGAATTAGCATGGATGTTTATTCTTCAGTACTCTGTGACGGAGCATTTCAAAAAACAAGAATTTATTCACCGTGACACTCCCGGAGTTTTCTTCTTTTATGACTTCTCTCCAATCAAGGTGTGTTCTTTTGTCCACATCGAATCTAATAAGCTTGTTCAATTCATATTGGAGCCTTTTGGGACCATGTAGGCGTTACTGCTGTTCCTGATAAAAGAAAATTTCTATTCTATTTACTGCTGTTGACTTCTAATGTGATAGTTTGTGCAGTACCATGTATGGAGGTTGGGATACTGGTTTCTGAGTTCTGATGAGTTTTGTTTGATTTTAGAAAACTGGTGTTGAAATTCCTTCATGTTTCCATTTTTAATCTGATGGTGCTTTCTTAGAGGATCATTTTCTTAGAGGATCATGCCCCTAGAGTTACCATTTCTTTGTGTATTGCAGGTGATTTCTAAAGAGGAGCATTATTCATTTTTACACTTCCTGACAAATATTTGTGCAATTATTGGAGGTATCTTTCTTCTTTCTTCACCACTACTCTTCTAGCCTCCACTGGGACAAATGTTTGTGCAATAATTTAGAGAGGAACATAACATATTTCATCTTGTTTAAGTGTATTTCTTTCAAATGGTTGGAAATTTTTTGCCTAACACACTCTAAATTTTGGTTTTCCTCTTGCACAATAGGAACAAATTTTTACATCAAAAACAAGAAACCCTTTGCCAGTGGATTTTCTGTTTTTCTTTTTCTACTCTCTCTCTCTCTCTCTCTCTCTCTCTCTGCTCCTCTCTTTGATTTCAGTGACTAAAGGGCTTGTTATTCTGTTCAGGTGTTTTTACAGTGGCTGGAATTATTGACTCATTTGTGTATCATGGTCAAAAAGCAATTAAGAAAAAGGTTGAACTTGGCAAACTCCGATAATATTTTCGGTTGACTTTCTGCTTAATGCTTTTGGAAGGGTAGAGCACAATGTAATTGTTTCCTCACAAGAGCCTCCGATCTCTTTACGTTACTTCATTTTTGTTTCCAGTTAGTTTAGACATTTTAGGCTGTAGATGCAGAATATGACCTCTCAGCTTATCTACACACATTCTTCGTCAATGTGCATTACTTCTGTTAGATGGCAAGGGCTTGCAGAACACTCAGAAGGCAGGTAATGTCCGAAAGTTTCTCGCAGAATATAAGAGCCGCTTGCTTCTGTTCAGGAACGAGGCCCTAGTCGATGAAAAGACAACATAGTTTCGTAGAAATATGGTGATATGTAATAGAAATAAGCACCATATGCACAATGTATACAACCTCAGTGCAATTCAGTTGGCACGTAGGAGGGCAAATTTTGAGTAAGCTAACAGTTAATTAGTTAGCTATTCTGTATATTATTTTTCTCTTTTTTCTGGTTGGGATAACAATTAAGCTGTGGCTATGATACTTTTCAGTCATTATATCTTATATAGCAGCAAATTTATATTTCTCTCTTTTTTCTCTTTTATCTTCTTCTTCTCTCTTCCTCGATCTCTCTTCTTCAGGGACTGTAAACTGGAAAATGTCCTCTATTTAAATTTTTAAATTAACAGTTCTTTAACAGTTAGTTAATTCTGTAAGGTCTACACCTATCAATTAACCATGTAACTGTTTGTTTCTTTGTATGAAGATCCTCCTCAACAAAAATATTTAAAAAGAAAAATAAAATTATGAAATTTGAAAATAGTTCCATTTTTCTTATCAATTTTTGACAATGGGATTTATTTATTCTTTTTTATTTTTTAATTTTTAACCATTTTTTATTATTTTAAAACATTTTAAATGTAGAAATTTTTAATATTTAAAAGCCTTGGGTAAGAATATACCAAATAGTATAAATTTATAGAATACAATATCTTTTATATTATACTATGTTGTAATCTTGCGTTATCATTCTAGATTTTTGTATTTCTTTTGCGCAAAATCGTTAAGTTGATCATAATTTTAAGGTTTATGTTCTAAATTATTCAAAAGTTAAGTTTAAGATACATTATACACTTATCCAATTGTTAAATAAAGAGAAAATTACAGTATGATCCATGTAGTTGCAAAATACAGCTAATCCGTCCTTATCTTTTTAAAATATATCAATTTATCCTTATGTTTTGCTTCCGTTATATTATTAGGTCCATCTGCTAATTTTTTGCATCTTTTTCATTAAATCAATAAGAAAAAACAGAGGTCAAAGGGAAGATATTGAAATATTATACTGAAAAAATTATAGTATGGTCCCTATAATTTGAAAAATACTACTAATCAGTCCTTATGTTTTTAAAAATAAAAAGGATATTTTCATCATTTTATAAAGCATTTACCGGAAAAATATAAAAATTGGACGGAAGGACTTTATAGTCTGATGGAAATAAAATATAAAGATGTTCTAATCTATTTTAAAAGATAGGAACGGACTAGTTATATTTCGCAAACCACATGGATCATACTGTAATTTTTTCCTTGAACAAAAGTAATATGATTTATATCCATTTGTTGAGGCGGGCCTAAAATCTAGGCCCAATCAGAGGCCTGAATTGACAAAACTTGGAAAGGGTCCTCATAAAATGGAAATATTACGGTACGATTCATGTAGTTTGTGAAATACAATTAGTCCGTCCTTATCTTTTTTAAAATATACCAATTTGTTCCTATGTTTTACTTCCGTTATACTGCCAGGTCATTCTGTTCATTTTTTGCATATTTTCTGTTAAATCAACAATAAAACATAGATGTCAAAGGAGAGATACTAAAATACTATACCAAAAAAATTACAGTATGGTCTCTATAATTTAAAAAATACAACTAATCCGTCTTTATGTTTTTAAAAATAAAAAGTGTATTTTCGTCATTTTATAAGGCATTTACTGGAAGAAATGAAAAAATTGGACGGAAAGACTTTATAGTCTGATGGAAGTAAAATATAAAGATGTTTTAATCTATTTTAAAAAAGACAATGACGGACTAATTGTATTTTACAAACCGCATGGATCGTATTATAATTTTCTTTTATAGAATTAGAAGTTGTACCTTGTTTGAAGAGTGAATCCATACAAACAAATCAAATTGTCTTGTACATCCAAATCACTTTTAATCCATTTTCTTTTTTGACCTCCTAATGTCTTATTTTTCACTCATGTTTTTTCTCTTCTTTGCTTTTTTCTCCTGTGAGCTCTTTTTATTCTAGTCCCTTCATTTTTTGACTAATAGGTTTCGATCAATTAATCCGCTCCTGAGACATTTTGATAAACGCAAGCTCAACAAACCCTAACCTCAATTTCGGACCCAACATTATAGATTATTGACATATTATTTCAAAGATCTTATACTTAGATTTTAAAATTATATAGAAAAGACAATTAACTTTTTTTAATTAAATGCCAGCAATTATAGTTTATCTTTACTTATCCATTATTTCTATAATTATTTTTTTATCGAAGTAGCTGCTAAAATAATATTAAACAAAAATATAATTACCAGTAAAAAGATAAATAATATTTTAAATAATTCACAATAATTTTCCTATTCATTTAGATAGTAGTATTCTCCTATTTTCCAAAAAAAAAAAAGATAGTGGGATTTCTCCTGTGTCGTTCCTTCATGATTACCACCAATTATCTGCTGACGAGACGACAGGTCGTTCAATGAACAGGTCAGAGTTAATAATAGTGATATCTATCGTCGTGCTTGGGCTTGTAGCATGGGCCGATAAACCTGCATTCACCCTGAACTGTAACAACTACCATCTCGTCTTCGTCTTCCTTTTTAGCTAGGGTTTATAGTATTGGCGATACCTGTAACAGAAAAGCAAATAACTTTACAAGAGAATCATAAACAATGGCAACAGAAAATGGAGAAGTGGAGACGACAAAGAAGCAAAAACATAAGGGAAAGCACGATAAGCCAAAACCATGGGACGATGATCCAAATATCGACCATTGGAAGATTGAAAAATTCGATCCTTCTTGGAATGAAAGTGGAATGCTCGAAGTTAGTTCATTCTCCACTCTCTTCCCTCAATACAGAGGTCTCTCTCTCTCTCTCTCTCTCTCTCTCTCTCTCTCAATTTCTTTTATATGCTTTCTTTCTCTTTTTCTTTGAATTTAGCATAATTTACGTGATTTCTGCAGAAAAATACTTGCAAGAAGTTTGGCCAATGGTGAAATCTGCTTTGAAAGAGTTTGGTGTAGCATGTGAGTTGAACCTGGTAAGTCCTTAATTGTTTTGCCTTTACAATGTTTTCCTGCTTTCATTTCATTGCAAGCCAAATGGAGTATTTAGAGTATTAGTCCTTTAGTTTTTTTCTTGTTTGGTACCTTTAATATTTGGTCATACAGTATAATTCTCAGTTTTTCTTTTTGAAACTTTTTACTTGTATTCTACTATTTTTCTCCTCCTGCATGATTTTCTGAAGCGACTTGTGGTTTTGTTAGGTTGAGGGGTCAATGACGGTTTCAACTACTAGGAAAACTAGGGACCCCTATATAATCGTCAAGGCTAGGGATCTCATTAAACTTTTATCAAGAAGTGTTCCTGCACCTCAGGTACAATCATCTACTTTTTTTTTTTTTTTTCGACAAATGTTATATTTTGAAGATCAGCCACTGAAACTACCACAATTATATTACTCTTGTTCTTTCAGGATGTTAGAATCACTTGAAATCATAAACAATTTTGATTGACAAACATCACCAAATACTTGAATGTTAAATCATTTTTCTTATCTAGATAGAACTGCTAACAATAAATATAATTGGAGTTCTTTTGCATATGTTGATTCTTTGAAACTATTTTTTACCATTTTAAAAGGTGTCTAGGCGCATTAAAAGTAAAGTGCAGGAAAACAAAAGGGACTGTTTTACTGTTGAATGTGAGCTCCGTCAAGCAGGCTAGGCACAAAAAGCACTCTTTTTTTTTTTCTCTATTTCTTTCGTTTTGTTCCAAGTTAATATTATTCAGTGATTCCTAACCTTTAGTTAGCATCCAGCTGCAGAATATTATTGATTAAATGGCACATGCATAATTGTTGCTGTTTATCCATAAAGAAAACGACTCTTTTGATCTGAGCATGCATCATATACGGGATTTGTGAATGTGCAGAGAATAAACAAGCCTGATCTTGCAGAATGGATCGGATTCAAATATGGACTTGCTATCTTGTGCATTTTTCTTGTGGTTCTAATTTCATATGAGTTGTTTAACCACAGCACTTGGCATTGTTGATGTGATAGGCAATCAAAATTTTGGACGATGAAATGCAATGTGACATTATCAAGATTGGAAGCTTTGTCCGAAATAAGGTATAGATTGCTTAAACCTTTTCACATTTTAGGTGACTTATTCTTACTCTTTCAAGTAAATTTATTAGCCTTCTCATTCTTGAAGTTATTAGCCTTCCTGGATGCGCGGGATAAATCCTCATTTTACGCATCTTATAGTTTGAGAAACGTTGATTTGTAGGAAGTTGTCGACTTGTTTAGTTATAAGACTCGGAGTATTTTTCTTTCTAATTCCTCCTTTATCTTGATTAAGTGTGGTGGTCTAGACTGTTGGATAGGAACTTATAGACTTGAAGGTTTTTTCTAAAGTCTGCTACTTAAAAAATAACTTGATATGTAAGTCTGGAAGAGCACTTAAAAGTTTCTGTAATTGGTTGCAGGAACGATTTGTTAAGCGAAGGCAGCATCTTGTGGGTCCAAATTCTTCCACGTTGAAGGTGTGTTCAGTTTGTTAATTTTAATTTTTTTGCAAGCTTCTGAAACCCCAGTATTCCAATCACTTTCTGCCCATAAAATGAAAACTAATTGATAAAAAAGGAATATATGTTTTGCTCATAAAATACCCTGCAATTGTGCTGATAGGTCATTGTGTTTATTTCTTTTCACTGGCTTATCCTTCACAATTTATTGGGTGCAGGCCCTTGAGATTTTGACGGGCTGCTACATCTTAGTTCAGGTAATTCTTATTGCTCTTTATATTGTTGATAGTCAAATTGAACACTTGAGTGCTACTGTGGTTGAGCATGTTTAGCTTCCTGCACTTGACATACTGTATTGTAAAGATTTATTTAAAATGATCCTCATAATCACCATAGGGAAACACTGTTGCTGCTATGGGCTCATTTAAAGGTTTGAAACAAGTAAGAAGAATTGTGGAAGATTGTATGCAGAATAAAATGCATCCTGTCTACCATATCAAGGTGAATATACTTACTTGTTTTCTCTTCAAGTCTCCACTTGGTTTTCCCTTTAAAACTGTTAATTCTCTCTCTCTCTCTCCCTCTCTGTGTTTGACATTCTTTGATGATAGATTCTTATGATGAAGAAAGAGCTTGAAAAGGATCCAGCGCTTAAAAATGAGAACTGGGATAGGTTCCTTCCAAAGTTTAAGAAGTATGATATCTACCTAATTATTGTTTATGTTTACACACTTTTAGTGACTGAAGAGTCACTTCTATTTGGTTTCTTTTTTTAAAATTTGACTCACATACAACTCTTTCAGGAAAAATGTCCAAACAAAGAAGGTTAAGAGCAAAAAAAGGAAAGAATATACACCATTTCCCCCTCCTCAGCAACCTAGTAAGGTAAGGACATTACTTCTGCTCTCCAAAATATAGAAGTTCCCAGCTAGAGATTCATCTCATTAGTGCATGTCTGTTATTCACATTTATCCAACAAAGTTTGAGCAATGTTTTACTCTAATGAACTGTGTTCATCTCATCTTTTTTGTTTTGTTCTTTGCTGAAGAAAAATATAGTTTCGTTGTTCTGTGTCAATAAGTGCATATTAAATCTGGTTTGTACTAAACTGTTTGATCATATTTAGATCATTGTTTTAGTTGAAATTTCTAAGGTTTCTGATCTTTGGTGCAGATTATATTGTAAGGATGAGAGTAATATGTTCATGTCTGCCTAACTTTCCTTTACGTTTTTATGTCATTGGCATCGTGTTCTGCAATATCTGCAGGTTGATCTGCAACTCGAGTCAGGACAATACTTTTTGAGCAATGAGAAGAAACAAGCAAAGAAGTGGCAAGAGAAGCAGGAGAAGCAAGCAGAAAAAACAGCTGAAAACAAAAGAAAACGAGAAGCTGCATTTATTCCTCCTGAGGTTCTAGTCCAAAACTCATTTGGCCAGTTTGCTGTTTTATACACACTTGCACCTCTTTATTCTTCATTTTGTTAGAATATAAAATCATGAAATATGTTTGGATATCATAGGAGCCCAAACAGCAGAAAGCAGGTATATCAGAGGATAAAAATGTCGATGTGACTGCCTTGGCCATGTCGATAAAGGTATAATCCTTAATCTGATTTTATCAAAATCCTTTGATGTGCATGTGGAGAATAGACATTCAGGGGGTTTGTTGTTGCAAACGCGTCTTTGTTTATAGTTTGTGACGTATTTTCTTAAGATCATATCAAAATGACTCCAAAAATTAATTTTTTTCAAACAATAACCCCAGAAGGTGAGAACTCATGCTTTTCTGTGATTTTTTGTTTTGTGAATAAAAACAAAGGATAACATTTTGAGTTTGCTGTATTGCAGAAAAGAGCGAAGGATTTTGGGAAACAAAAGGCTGTTGAGAATGTCAATGCAGCAGAATATATTGCTGCTTCAGGAGACCCACCAAAGAAAAAGAAATCAAAACGGGTTTAGCCTGGAAGTTCCTGCTAATGACGAAATATTTTTTATTTTTTGGCCTTGTAATTTCATTCTGGTTCTCATATCTTAGGATCATGACATGTGTATGGAAATCTTACTCTGCTGTATGATTCTCAAACAAAGAACTATTTCCACCCTTTTTGTGAAGGCTTAATGCGGTGCCTGAATTTGTATTATGTTGCAATTTCTCTCGATTTTGACTTTTTATATCAATTTCACTTGGATTTTTCATTGCAATAGCATCCTAAATTGCTTTAAAATTTAAATTGCAAATAAAAAGTACATTAATGTAGGATTCACTTTTGACTTTGGGTTAACTTAAACCAAGCTTTTTTTTTCATATAAATTTGTTAATTTTAATTGTTGTGTTGTGCATAATATTTTTTTTTTTTCATTTTATAATTATAAATTATAATTAATTATAATTGGTAAAAAGAAAATCGTTTATAATCTCTGATCAAAATCATTACAATTTCTAATAGTTCATGAGTCAAATAATTTCATAGTAGCTTTGTATTTTAGATTTTTATAATTGTTTCAAAATTTAGACTAAAAATCAAACAATAATAATAATAATAATAATAAGTTTATCTTTTAAGTACTCTAATTTTTTGAAAAAAAGGCTTCCATGTATCAGTTAATGGATTTTTATTCATTATTTAGGAGCTATTAAATAGATAATTTAGAAATATTAACAAATAATAATAGAAAGTTTCCTTGTTTTTAATCCAAGGTCATCAGTTACATACATGTATTAATTTAACTCAAGCCTAAAGTAATGTATATTTGCAGTTTAAGTCGTAATTATAATTTAGCATGCTACAATAGAAGGTTAAAGTTCAGAGTGAAATTGATATGAAAGTCAAATTGAAATGAAATTGCAACAAAATAATACAGGATGAAACAATGCACTAGGCATCTTGTTATCAAAGTTAACACTAGCTTTTGGAATAGGAATCATTTGCTCAATGAATCATTTAAACTTGAATATTATTTGGTCATAATTTGAATATTTGCCAATTTGTATAGATCAAAATATACAATAGCAAAATTTGTATATACCAACTTAAAGCTAGTTTTTCACACGTAACATTTACTAATTGGAAAGAGTCAACTTATGTCCAATATTTGGGGTTTATGTTCTAATGAGAAAAGACTATTTACCTTCATAGATACAAGGTAAATTCAATAATTCCAAGAATAATGCAAGGATCAGGCCCTGCAACTTTGAATGCACAGAAATTCCAGTCTGCAGTCTGTTCAGCAGCTGTTCGGGTAACGTTTTAAATTAGAAGTGTTCGGTAAAAAAAATCATTTAATTTAAAATAACAAAAATAGAACATTAATTGCTTAATTAGTTGAGTTCAGAAGAATAATGGATATAATTGTAAAAAAAATTTAATTAAAAACTAAACATAATAGCATTTAACATTTCATATTAATAGAAATAAAGTTCTGACTTGATTAAAAGCCAAAAGTTTGTTCAAAATTTGCTGTCGAACACCACTTATGCATAGTGCACCGAGAGGTGGTTTCAGTGCAGTTGATTATCGCTCCTCCGGCCTTAACAGTTTCTAAAAATATCCTCAACTAGTCGAGACTTGAGTGGAATTAAAACCAAAAGATCAGAATATGCTACTGCAACTAGTCAGTCCCATTCCTATGATTTTGTTCATTGTTAATGTTTAGCAATGGAGTAAACATGAAAAAGATAAAAAACAAATTAAAAAATGAAAAAGAGATGGAATTAAAAAAAAACAAAAAGGCTATCTCATCATCATTCTAAAAAATTGGTACAGAGATATATCAGTAGAGCTATTTACTCTCTACAGGGACATGAAGCCCTCCCTGACTAACTGAAACATGGGAAACCTTCATTTTAATGGCCTCAAATTCAGCATTCTGCCTCTCTTCATTTGTTAACCACAATGATAAGCAACGTTCAATCAAATCTGTGCCACAACTCACTGGGGTATTTCCCTTTACAATTCGCGATCTTCCGTATCTTGTTATCCTAGCTAATTTAGAATCACAAGGCTCCTCTGCATAATTTTCAAGAATTTCCCGTATAGCATCGCACCAGATTGGACGAGCTACCTTAAGGAAATCATCCAAAGCCAATACTGGGAGATTGACACTTCCCAGTTCAGACTCGCTATTTCCACCTCTTCCATGATAATCTGACCCTCCAAGCTTCAGAAGACCATAAACATCTGCTAGGTCGCTATATGCTGTTCAAATAGAATAAAACAACATATAAATTCCAATTCAAGAATAAAACTAAACGTTGCAAAGATTTAGTCACATACTGATAAATCGCACTGATGACTTACTAAAACTCAAGCATTATTAATAGCTAAATGGACTTGGGAGATTGGAGATTGTCATCTAAGTAAATGATCTAAAAATCGTATCCATGCTGCTCAACTATGTTAACGTCAGTTTCAGCTCAGAATTGTAAGACGATAATTACATATTAAACTTATAATTGCATCCTATATTTTGAATTAGCCATAAATAACTCACAAGACTTCGAATTTCAAACACAGTAACTAAATGTATAAACAAAATAGTAAGTGCACCATTCTAGTTCAGGCCAGACAAAAATTAGACATAAGATTATGAATTCCAAGCAAAATTCAGCTCTCCTGGTTCACATTTTGACTAAATATTTGGGCAGAGAAGTAAAATGAACAGAAAATTTTCTCAGTTGTCTGACTGCAAGTATAACCTGCCTCAAAATTGAGTTCATGTCTCACTAAGAAAAATCTCAAATAATACTCATCAAATAAGTTCAGATTAAAAATACCATACTGAAGTCAGCATTTCCCCTTTAAGCAATATTTCATCAACATCAGATGTATTAAAGCTCAAGAAGATTCACACGTTTGAATCCAAGGCATTTGTTACCCAAAAACAAATTGAAAAAAAAAAGGCGGAGCCAGGAGCTAATTTTAAAAAAGAGGGAGAAGGGGGAAGGGGGGTGGTTCATAAAGAAACATTTTTTCACCAACTTATATAGTAAATTTGAATAAGTTTTTTTAGCCCCCACCCCCTTGCCTCGCACACTTCCTAAAATGGTGGCAGGTAGATATTTGGAAAATGAGAGGGGAAGAGGTTTTGGGATGCAAAAATAACATGCCTGCCAGTTTTCCATCGCTTCTGTAAACTTCCAACCCATGAAGACCTGCATCTTTCAAGCTTCTGATAACTGCAACAGGATTCTTCAATGCCCATGGATGAGCCAGCACTGCAAGACCCCCTGTTTCACATATAAGTTGTATTGCTTCCTCTGAAACAGGTTCACTTCCCCTGATGTTGAACAGACAAACACTTCCCATCCATCAGTTTTTCAAATAAGAATATGCTACAATCAGTTAATAATTAATCACTGGATTATTACGTTGAATAAGCAGGCCCGCCATCATATAGATATTTGGCAAAGGCTTGTTTCAAATTCTCAACATAGCCTGCTTCAACCATTGCCCGAGCCACATGCAGTCTTCCAGGAGCAACTCCTTTGCCGGCAATCCTGGCAACATGCTCCCACTTAAGAGGCAACTTGAGTTTGTTAAGTTTGAAGACCATATTTTTTGCACGAAGGAAGCGGCCATCTCTTATGTTAGCCAAGAACTTTTCAAGTTCCTCAAACTTTTTCGGCCCACAGCTGCTGTAATATGCAAGAATGTGCACTGGTTCCTCTGCTTCAGGATTTATGCTTTATAAATCAAATGACCCAATTCGTCAAAAAAATAGATATGCCATTAGTAGGAGAATAGTGATTCTTCTGAAATTAACTTTGTTATCTTTTTCTTTATTTTATAACTCCTAACAATATCTGTTCACAGGTCAAGGATATTGAAATATCACATATTATATATGAACTTTAAGTTTCCTTCATATTTTACAGAACTTCTTAATTTCCTCGCTCCATGTGTCACTTCAAAGGAAACCTCAAGGTAGCTCTATTCCCCTCCTATGCCATCCATATCCTTGTTCCATTTGTCTCTTTTACTAGTCTGTCTATTTCATTATATATATATAATATTTCAAAAGTATATAATATAATTATTGAGAAATTGAAAAAGAAGAGAAAAGGAGGTCTATGATGATTTATTGAAGTCTTTTATGCAGGCCAATTATCAATTCAGATCATTGTGGTCATACTCTATTATGCATTCCTAGGAAAAAACAACTGAACTTGAAGTACAATTACAGCCAATGGCTAGACAAGGAAATTTAAAGAAGATTCCACTAGTTGAAGCAAATACCTTGGAGAATATATTGTGCTGATCTCGACACCTGGGATTATCTTGATGCCAAATCTCCGAGCTGCTTCAATAGCCTCAGGGACACCAGCCATTGTGTCGTGATCCGTCAAAGCCAGAACTTTCACCTGTGCTGAACACAGTGCCCTCATTAAATCTTTAAAACAATGAGAACATGATATTGTCAACAAGCAGCCAATTTGTTTGAAGAACTGGACTTCAAAACAATGAAAGCTTTCTTTTTTAACCCATAGCTAAGATCCATTTCAAGTAAAACTATAGAAGATTTCTATTTATATGATTAGTGAAAAAGAAAACATATTATCCTCCCCAACAACAATGATTAAGCCTTAATCCCAAACTAATTGGAATCGGCTATATGAAACCTTTTTTTCCATTCCACTCTATTCATAATTAAGTTTGCAATCTGTGTTATCATACAATTATTCAATTTTCATGCTAAATAATTCAAATCTTATGGGTGAATCGGAATTGAGCATGAATCTTATGATTAATGTGATTGAAATCTTATAATTCGAATCGATTCTTGTGTCCAATGATTCTCTTACCCAACAAAACAAGTGGAAAAAGTCAATATAGAGAAAGAAGAGCAAGAGAATATAGTTATATGAGAAGATGAAGATGATGAAGGGCTTGAACTTGTAAATAATACTGAACGAGTATGGATTTAGATAGGAAATTTATTGGCTTGATAGTTTTACTTTGTTTGTATTTTAAAATTTTAACTTCATAGTTTAATATTTTGAACTTGACAACTATACTAATCATTAGATTCTCTTTCATTTTGTGCTTAATACATGATTTGGAGTTGAAATTTATATAAATAAATTATTTGCAATTAAATTGTTAATATTTTTTGATAAAATTAATGGAAATATATCTGACTAAGGGAACTTGAAAGGGCATAAACCTAGTCAAGGTTGGAATTTTCCGGAGGTGGTACCCAAATCAAGCACAACCTAGGTAAGTACAAAACTCAAGTAGTCCACTTTGTCAGGATATTAGTAGGCTTGAAGTTGCTTGGCTTGAAGCTTTAGGGCCTCATCACTGAGTTAACCACCTCAAAACATAATACTTGAACAACCCCAATCTTTCCCATGGCATTCCAAGATGTGGTAGAATTTTATTCCAGAAAGTCAAATCTAGCAATACAAACAAGTTTCCTGCTTCTCCTAGTAGTTTTTCATTAATTACAAATTAAAAAGCCAAAGCCTATAGAGAGAATGATGCCCATAAATAAAAAAACCCCTTTCAGGCATTCGTTAAACATCCCTTCAAAATCAAATCATAGAATCAAAATAGTTCACTTTAGTTTCTGTCCATACAACATAAAATCATCTAAAATTAAGAAGCACATATCATTTCTCGATTCAGCAGAACTAAAAAGAACAATACAGAGAAAAGAAAAGAAAATTAAAGGAAATCAGCATAACAGCACTTACCCCATTCCCATGAGCTCTCTCCACAACCTTTGAAGGAGACAAAAACCCATCACTGCATTTGGAATGAGAATGCAATTCGAAAACAACCTTGCCTCCACCTCTGCCCATAGTCTTCTGCACCCCAAAATCATCAACGACACAAGCAGAAGCAGTGGAAGCTACCAAAGGCGAGGACTGCTGGTCCAAATTAACCCATTCAGTGACAGCCTTGAAAGCCAGAGTCTGCTCAGCTGTCATCTTCTTCTTAGCTCCTCCACGCTTCTTCTTCTTCTTCTTTTTGTCCTTTGCTTTCTTCGGGTTCTCTTTGCTTACAAAAGCATCATCTCCCATGGCTTTTTTGTTTTTTGAAGGCTAACAAGCGTAGATGAAGAAGAGAAAGAACGATTTTAGGTGTTCGAAACTTTTAGGTTATTGTTATAGAGATCTCATATCTATCTCCTGTTTTGCGGCTGATACCGGCAGAGGCAGTGTCAGAGAGAAACGGGTAAATATCAGATAAATATTGAATTTTAATTTCAACCCTTACCTTTTTCTTAAGGTTCAATTATGCCCTAACTTAAGTTTTTTTTATTAATTGACTCCTAATTTTAGTATTTTATTATTTGGAAATTCAAAATTAACGTAAAAATAGAAAACTCAAGAAGTCCCCGCGACCTTGTTTGCTCTGTTCCTCACTTCTCAACTTCATCTTCTCCCTCCCTCCATCTTTCTTTTGTATTTAGTTACCATCAATGGTAATCTAGATTGCACAAACACGGAATGCGGGACACAGAATATGGACACGAGATATGATAATTTTTAATAAAGTAAAATACGGACATATTTAGGACATATTACACTAAATAAATATAATTTATTAATAATTCAAATAATTAAATAATTATTTATAATAAATCATAAATATAAAATAAAAAAAATATAATTAGTTAAATTCTCAAAATTAATTTATTTATAAAAATCATAAATATAAAAATTTATAATAAATCATAAATATAAAATAAAAAAAATATAATTAGTTAAATTCTCAAAATTAATATCACTATTGATAATCACAGTATTCTAGCTTATTTAAAGACAAATTGAGAATTTAAAAAATTCAACATTTTAAAAAGAAATCAAATTAATTCTCATAACGATATTCCACGTTTTAATTTTCAGATGTGTATTAAAGTATCTTTAGAAGTGTTCTCATAGATGTCCTTCAAGTATGCGAAATTAATAAAATAAAATAACTAATAAGGCACAATTTTTAAAGTGTCTGACACACGTTCGAAAGGTGTCGGTGTCTATTAATTATGGAGTGCTTGTAAGTAATGGCACTATGGAGAACATTGAGTCCTCTCTTTGGATCTCCAAGAGGCCAAGCTTTGAAAGAACTTGGTGGGCAAAAATTAAAAAGCATTTGGACTAAAATTCTAGTGAGAAGGCATGTCTTCTTTATTTAGTGACATAAATTATCTCATAGATTTTATGATGGCCAAATGCGTAATTTCCTCCTTGCATTTTAAAAAAATATCTTTTGCCTCTCTATACTTTTTGAGTCACCTATCATGTCCCTATATTTGTCTTTTCTGTAACTATTACACACCTTGTCATGCTGGAATTGGTGAGTGAATAAACAGATGCATATAAAGAGAGCCAAGACATCTTTGAATGTTCAACCTGACATTCTTCCATACTAACAATCACACGAAAATGGAACATGAAAAAGCAAACTAGCTCTCTGTTTCTCTCTCCCTCACTTTGTTTCTTTAGCTCCTAATTTCCCACATTTCGTTCTATCTCATCCAGTTGCCCAAATCAAACTAGAAAGCCAATCTTGTTTTCGAAATTCACAACTTCAGGTTCATACATAAGCAAGCAAATTAGAGTCCAGTAAAACACTTTCAATTTACTCACTCAAATAGGAGTCCATAATCTTCAAAATCATCATTGTAAAATAAGAGAAGAACAAAGAATGATAATTAAGAACTTAGGGCGAAAATATAAACAAAAAATCCACTGTCCACCATTAATAACTCTATCATGATCAATCTGATGGAAAAATTGAAACATGAAAGCATTGTTTCCCAACTCTTTTAACCAATCCCATAACTGGCCACCACGCTTATGCCATGGTTGTTTTAGAATCTACACTATTAACAAGTTTATGTGTTAGCAAATGACCTACTATACACCATTATGGTTTTTCTTGTCTTTCTTCATCACCTTGTCGCTCATCATCAAATTTTCATCCAGTGTTTCCATCTGATTTGGCTCATAAAAAATATGGCTGTGTAATTATGGGACCCATTTTTCAAATTTGGCAAATGACACGCCACAAAGGAGCTCCAAATCAGCTTGCCATGTAAAGTCCACGTGGACATGCTATTGAATTCCCTAAGTTGCCCTTGCCTAGTATTGCCCGCACTACCTTCTCCCTCGCTTTCTTACTCTTTATGGAAACCCTAGTCTCTGTTCCTATTTTTCTTTTCTTCTCCGTAAGTTGTATCGGCTTGTGAAGGACGGTAAAATTTTGATTAAAAGTGATGTTCTTCAAGACGGTGTCGTTTCAGTTGGTTCTTCTTCGAAGAGACAAGCAGTGCAAGCCGATTCGAGAAACTTGATCACTCGGTTGAGATTAGTAGCAGTGGATTGAAAATTTTGGCCACGGACTCGCAACTCAAGTTGCTACCAAAAGATGATAAGAATGTATGATGGTTGTAGCATAGGGTATAATCTCTTCTCATATTGAACCTGAGATCCGTGATTGGCCCATACTCCTTACCCTTTTGATCCGATAAGTTTTGCTCCTTGATTCTTTGACTTTGAGTGAGTTCTTTTTCCTTTTTGCGTGATGCATTAGTAAGTAAAAATTTATGGTATTGATGCCTGGTGATTTAGTTCTGCAGATATAAACAGAGATCTGAAATTTTGAAGAGTGCATGGCTATTAGGAACCATTGTTAGACTAGAAATCAGTGTTGGGCAACAACAAGTGGAGGATAAAAAAGGCAATTTCAACGAGGTCCATGTCAAAGGCTGATATGGCTAATTTGGAGTTCCTTTTGTCCATATAAGATGCCGCATGTAAAAAAAGCGGGCCTCACATTACATATTCACTTTTCCGGCTTGACAGCTAAACCGAAAACATTTAATTACAAATTTAAAAAAATTCATGTACTCGATCGTTAGCGCTTTCCATTCAAACACTAAAATAGAAAAAAATGCAAAGTTTAAACACTAAAAATATAACTATCCCTAGAAAAAATGAAGAGTTTTGTAAAAATTATACCATGAACGAGGGTATTCAGGAGCTTGTTACTATGGACAAGGTTATTTCGTATATGGATGGATTCATGTTGGAAAGGGTGGCCACAGATATTGGAAATTGCATGGGTGATGAATTTTTGGAGGTTGATCCTAGAAACTTTATAGTCATTTGGAGAGAGTATATGCACATTTGTGATTGATTGGATATGTGGAAGCCATTAAAAAAAGGTGAATGCAAGTGAAGAAGACTGGTTGTAGATGAGCCTGAATTGCTTTTAAATATGAAATATTTTCTACCTTTTTTTATTATGTGGAATGTTAGGTCATTCAAATCGCCATTGTCGCAAGCTTTTCTTGGCTCCAAGGGTTGCAAGGGAGCTGTTTGCCTATGACCCATGGACAAGGATGGACAATCGACAAACTAACAATGGTAGTGCTTGGTGGTTTTAGCCGGAGACGACAATGGTTGATATTGGTACGACAACAGGATTGATGCATTGCTCTCCTTCAAAAATGAAAAAAAAAAAAAAAGAAACATTGAAAAGAAGGGGCAATTGTGTAATTAAAATAGTTTCTTTTACCTCGTAAATGCATTTTGTACTATAATAAATGGAAAAGTACAAAATATTGAGGGAAGAACTAAACAACGTTACAAAAGCAATAAATAGGTATATTTTAGTATATTTAAAAAAAAAAAAGGAGGACCGATTAATGAATTATAATTTTATATAGAGACGTAATAATAATTATCCCATTATATAATAAATTTTGGTGGGTAGAGGCACCCTATTTTTAAACCCACATTCAGCTGTAGTGGATACTTGATTTGATACTCATATTCATTCTCATTCCAAACCTATTTAATCAATATCCAAATATGCTTTAAATGAATTTTTGTGGACCGAGTACCCATGAGAACCCGCACTGATTCCATCACTACTCCCATCTCCCATACTAGTTAGATGACCAACTAGAACATACTTAATTGGTTTATAAGTTAATTTTAATAGTATCCTCTAACTAAATTTCAGTAGGGTTATTTACCATAGATTTGCTTCCTTTTAGCCTAGTATAGTGTTAAACGCATAGCGGTAGCTCCAAAATTTCACTTCGTTTTCTTTAACAAGAGTTTAACGGTGGGAAAGGTAAAAAAGCATAGAGATTTTGGGACTAAATGATGCTTCTAGTAAATATTTTGTCGTGCATTATGAATAGAATCAAATTGAATTGGTTATCATAATACAATTAAAGCGATTTTATTCAAAAAAAAAAAAAATTAAAGCGATATTTTTAAGTGGTTGTTTGAATCGATGGATGTAAATTTCATAAAATACAAGAATTTAAATTCTAGAAATCGTGAAATATATGAAATTTTATATCTTATCATTTAGTTGGAAAACAAAATTCATAAATTTAGAAAATATTTTTAAAATAAAATTAAGGGCTTCGAATTTCATCATTCATAAAAAAAAAAAATAATGGAAAGCAAAAATTCCATAAGTGAACATTTTCTATTCAAAATGGTAAAATTAAAGCCATAATGAAATTCATTAATTTTAAGGATTGTGACCTACCTTTTTTTTTATTCAAACAATGGAATTTTAAAAATTTATAGAATTTTTAAATTTCATCATTTATATCCTATCAATCCAAATCACCTCTATCAATTTTTTATATACTACAACAAAAATTGGTAATCACTCTCAAAATAAAATAATAAGGTGTTTATGAAGTACTCATCGACTCTATTTTGACCATTTGTTCTCATGACTTGCAAGGTTTTAATTTGAAAAATATTAGATTTTCTACAAATTTAATATCTACCATCTCTGAGGAAAATAATACTTCATATGTCGCAAAATATAAGTCGTTTAAAATTCTTGCACAACAATTAAGGAAGCTATTATGAATAGTGAAAGCCTCTAATATATCTTATACTATTTGAGAAAAGTTAATGGGTTTAGATTTAGCTTTATAAAGTTTGATCTCTCTTTTTTGAGAATGAAAGCTACAGTCCTTTTACTCTAAGTCATTGTCTATTTGGAAAAACATATGGGTCTCTAATTAGGTTTCTATGTAAAATATCAGCATCAGTCTCTATAATTATTAAAGTGTAAATTACAATTAAGTCCTTAGTAAATATTTATATTCTATGAAATAGATATACTTGAAAATAATTTATCACTGGGGACAAAATAAAAAGCCTTATAATTTAGAAAATGTTAGAAATATTTTGAATTTATTTATTACGGAAAAGATTGAAAAATTTATATATTTACGAACACATGGATAGAAATTAATGCATCTAGTTTACACAATGAAAAAAACCAGAACAATTTATGTTTTTAAATGGTAAAAGGTAAAGCCAATACAATCTGTATCATCTTTCATCACCCATTATTCCTGAATTAGTGGTTGACAAAGATTCATCTGTTAAAGATTGATCCAGCGACAAGTCGTCTTCCTCTTCAGATTCAACAACTTTAATATTTTCCACCTCTCTAACAACTTCTGTCATTTCAGGACGCTTCTCAGGCGACTTATCACAGCATCGAATAGCGATTTGCAATAGTTTTAGCATTCCAGGAGTAGAACTTCTTTGCACAGATATTTCAATATCAAAAATCTCAGCTGTCCATTCTTCCCTAACTGCTCTATGAACCCAACTAGAAAGATCAACTCCATTAGTTCCTGATGGAGCAGAATGAGCTGGTACTCTTCCTGTCAGGATTTCTAATAGAAGACAGCCATAACTCCAAACATCGGATTTTCTTGAAACCCGTTTCGAAGTTTGATATTCAGGCGATTTGTAAGAAACCATACGAGTAGAAGCAATGGGAAGTGCTATTAGTGATGTGAATCCGTAGTCGGAAACAAGAACCATATCATTCTCGTCGAGAAGAACGTTCGATGATTTCAGGTTTCCATGAGGAACAATATTGTTAGTTGGAAACCTGTTGTTTAGGTGAAGGTACTGTAAGGCTCTTGCTACTCCTCTAGCAACTGAGAGTCTTGCACTCCAACGAAATGGGATCCTGTCTTTATTGCTTCTTCCTCCTGCAATATGATAGTACTTCAATTGGTATTGCTGAGAAACAAAGGAAGAATGGAACATGGGAAAATACTTGCCTAAACCGGCCTATAGTCCCACTTATGGATCAAACCAATAAAATTAAAAATTTTTTGAAGGAAAAACTTACCTAGACCAGGTGCATAGTCCCACTTATGGATTAAACCGGTGAAATTAATGATTCTCATTGAAATAAGGTATTTTTTAATTACCGTAAACTTGGAAAAAGGATAAAGTAGAAACACATTTTAAAGAATTCTTAATTTTATTGGTTTGGTTCATAAATGGGGCTATGAACTAGTCTAAACAAATATTTTTTCCTTTTTAAAAATTGTTTCCACTTTATCATTTTTTTAAAATGTATGATCAGATGTATTCTTGTTTCAAAAAAAATTTCTAATTTCATTACTTTGGTATATAAGTGAGCTGTTGATCCAGTTGAGGTAAGTTTTTCTATAACAAGAATGGAAGAGAAACTTAACAACAAAATGCAAATAACACTTACCATGAATGCGATTAAAGAGGTTTCCTTTACCAGCAAATTTATGCAGCAATAACTTCTCTTCCTTAGAACAATAGTAAGCAAGAAGGGGAAGCAAATTGGGATGCTTCAGTTCAGCAATTACATTCAAATGCTTCACAAATTCCTCACTACTTAATGGTTTCAAATCCCTTAAACGCTTTACGACCACAGCTGGCCTACCTTCCATCATAGCCTTATAACTATTTCCAAACACACCTTTCCCTAACCCTTCAGCAGAAGCTTTTAACAAATCATTTAGTTCAAAACTTACTTCTTCTTCAAACAATATCAACTTCCTTTTCTCTTCTCCTACTACAACTTCCTTTCCCTGAACCTCTCTATTCTTTTCAATCTCCAACTCATTTTGACCACCATCATAACCCTCCTCCTCCTCCTCCTCCTCCTTAATTCCTTCTACATCCATTTTTTCCAACATCTTCTTAAGTTTTTTTCTTTTCCTGAAGTAAAGAATGAAAAGCAAAATAACCGCAACTAAACCAACAACATCAAAAAGCAAGAATATAGTTCCTATCTTATTAGGCTTGGAAGAAGAACTTCCATTAGGCTGCTGGTCTGTAGTATTGGAGTTTTCTGTATCATTTAAACTGCAGATATTATCAGTAGGTGGACCGCATAATTGAGGGTTGTTAGAATAAGAATCATACCCAAACTTCTGCATCATTTTTGGAATAGAACCATAAAGATTGTTGTAAGAGACATTGAATAATTCCAAAGCAGGCTGATTAAATTCTGGAATAAAACCTGTGAGGTTATTTTCCTGAAGCTGCAATGACTCCAAGAAATTAAGAGTGAGCAGAGAATGTGAAATTATTCCATGGAACTTATTTCTGGACAGAGTTATTTCTTTTACTTTCTTGTTCGAAGAGAAATCCATTACATTACCTGATAAGGAATTATTCATGAAGCTGAGGATTGTCAATTCAGTGAAAACAGCAAATGCATCATTTCCAATTATACCTTTTAGGCCCATATTTTCCAATAGAATTCCCCTAACTCGACCATTGATGCATCTAATTCCATACCATCTTGTAGGATACTCTAGAGGACATAGAGGACCATTCCAGTTAAGATTCAAAAATGGGTCATTGAAATTAGCCTTAAGTGCCAAAAGGGCATTTTTTTCGAGTTGAGGTTGCGCGATTGTAACATGGTAGAGTAATGAAGAATGTACTATTACAAGAAGAAGATGTTTATTGAGTAATGGAGGATTTTGAAACTCCATACTCACAATCCAACATTGAAAATTCCAGATATTTTTGTTAGGATTTTGAACAAGTAAACCTGGGTTAATAAAAACTTGACGGGATCTCAGATATTCTACTATAAATGCCTTTCTTTGTCGAAGACAAAAACGAGAAATTTCTCTAACTGTTTCTGATAGTAATTTTCTTGCACCAAGAATCCTATGCAGGCTATTAATTTGAAATTTTCATTCATATATATATTACAAGTTTAAGGAGATGTTTATTGGAGCTAATGGTAGGATTTTGAAAGTGCCTACTCCACAGTCCAAGCATTGAAACTTCCCATGATATTTTTTGTTAGGTATTTTAGAACCAAGTAAACTGGGTTATAAAAAACTTGACGGGCATTCTCAGGATATATTCTACTTATAATGCTTTTCTCTCCCTGTCGAAGACAAAAACCGAGCAACAGAAATTTCTCTAACTGTTTCCCTTCGATTAAGTATTTTTCTTGACCAGAATCCTATTTGCAGGCTATATCCGCTTGAATTTTCATTCAATATATATATTTATATATATATTATTATATAATATATATAATTTGAATATATAAAGAGGCTTGGCCTGTTATGTTTGGGTGTTTTCACATGCAGGATGAAGTCTAGGGAATAAGGACGGTAAGAACTAGTTGGTTAAGCTTGAAACGTCTCAATGACGTTCCAAAATTTAAGAGTTCAAACAAATAAGTATTGGCAATGTTATATCAGAATTGTCATCAAGCCACGAGGTGGAATTTAAATAACCAAATTATAAAAAAAAAATAAAAATTAAGAGCTGAAATTCTTCTTTGTATGCAATTTAACCAAACTAGACCAATGCTAAAAAATTGATGTATTGAGTATATATCGGGTTTATAGGCCACTCATTAAATATACCTATAAAAATAAATTTTTATTAAAATGAAAGTATTTTGTTACTATATAATGGAAAGAATAAGATAATGTGGGAATAATACTATAAAGTTTCTCTTTTTTTGTCATTTTAAGTTTAACAACTAATCAAATAGTTATTTTTACCGAATACTTTCATTTTAAATGCTATATAAATAGTTAACAGCTAATATCTAACCAAAGATAGCTACGGAAACACAATGTTCTTAGAAATGGACCGGTGAAGATAGAGATTCACTAAACCGGGAGATTTAACCGGATTCAATATGGTTCAACCGTGTATATATATATATATATATATATATAATGGGTCTTCAACCCGTGTATAGGTAGTATATTATCATTAGGTGTATAATTATAATCATAATAAACAATTTGAAAAGTATAAATAAAAACTTTAAGTATCAAAATAAAAAAACATTCTCAGGCTTTAGCTTTTATAAAAAAGGAAATAAAAAAATATACAATAATTTTAAATAAAGAATAAAACATAACTAAATTTAATTATAAATAAGAACAATATATTACAACAACTCACACTATAATATATTTTATTACGACTTTGCTTCTAGGGTTGCGGTAATAATAAAATTGAAAGTATAAGATAAAAAACTTTAATATCAAATAAAAAACATTCTCAAGTTTAGCTTTTATAAAAAAGAATAAAAAAATTAGTAAATAATTTTAAATAAAAAGAATAAAACATAACTAAATTTAATACTAAAGAAAATTAATTACAACAAACTATAATATTATTTTTTACATTTGGCTTTAAAGTTGGGTAATTTAATTGTATTAATTAATATATTAGGATTTTGGATTTAGAAATAAAGAGGTCCAAAAACTAAAAAATTAGTATCTAATCTTTAAAAGGCCCAAATTTAAAAAGGCCTACAATTTGAGAAAGCCCTGGAATTTAAATCCAACCAATTTTTAACCCTTCTAGTTCATCAGTTTTTAGCCAATTTTCAACGATTTATGCCGGTTTTCAAAGCTATTTGTTTTCTTATATAATGGGCTGGACCATTGTTCGGTTTTTGGTTAAATTGGTCGAACCGGCTGATCTGGTTCAATTTTTAAAATAATACCAAAACAACTAATAGTTATTAAAATAATTAATATTATCGAACAAACCTTTATCTATGGTCTTGCTTTCTTTAAGAGCCCAAATCTTTTATTCATGTTCAGAAAAACGCATAAAAATATAGAAGGCCCTCCTCTCTTGGGCCTAGCCCTCTTTCTCAACTCGAGTCTTTGAAGTTCAGCGGCTTTCATCATTGACGAACACCAATCAAAATATTAAAATAAGAAATTGGCTTAATTTTTTTTTTTTCCCAATAATATCCCATCATATTGAACAAGTACAAGCACTGTCAATTTAGTGAAAAAATGAGAAGCATGCTATGGTTAGTGGTTATTTTTAGCCACACATCAACCTTTGAAAAACTAAAGGTTAAACGTTAGACTGTTAAATGCTTTGTAAAAGCAACATCAGCGACTTACAACATCAGTAATTGTTACCTCATTTGCAGAACAAAATCCTCCTCCTGTCACAAATGAATTAGATTTGTCAGCAAACTCTCTAAAAATGAATGATGGTTCTTTCGGAGGCGGAAGATTTATTTCGCTGTTCAACCATAGAACAACGGTTGACATGGTTGGTCTGTCCATTACATTCTTTTGCACACATAACAGCCCAATTTGGATGCATCTTGAAGCCTTGAGAGGAGGGTAGGACTCCTTTAGTGATGAATCAATTATCTCCAATTGTCTATCTTCTCTCCATGAATGCCATATCTAAGAAGTTTTATAGCATCAACATGCAAAAGTTAAACTATCAGCATTAGAAAGGATTAAAGAAATTCGTGAATCTTTGATATAATGAAATTCATGGATCTTTTAACTTACATGTCCTAACAAGCTTAGACAATAATCCTTTCCGACAAAATCATTGTTTTTCTTTCCTGTAATGATCTCCAGTAATATGACCCCAAAACTAAAGACATCGGATTTTGTCGAAAATTTTCCGAATAACACATATTCCGGCGACATGTAACCACTACGCATGAAAATATATCAAAAGAGTCATTACGTACCGGTTATCTCAGTTAATTTGATGTGATAAAAATAAGCTAATTCTCTCTATCATGATCTTGGGTATGTAAATGACTCACAATGTTCCAGCAATTTTTTTCGTCTTCTGTTGAATTTGATCTCCTTTGAAGATTCTAGCCAGGCCAAAATCTGAAATTTTTGGATTCATCTCAGCATCCAATAAAATATTACTAGTTTTTAAGTCTCTATGGATAATTCTCAATCTAGAGTCTTGGTGAATATATAGGATCCCACGAGCAATCCCAACAATAATGTCGAACCGTGTTCTCCAATCCAAGATTGACCTTCGTGTTTCATCTAGAAAAACAGAAAAAAAAATGAATTTTCACTCCAACAGGTGTTTACGTAGTCTTTTGTCAGCTAATCATGTTGTTGAAAAAGATGCAATCAAACAACTAGTGAACATATGGCTAAGCAATGTAGTAGAAATTACCAAAAAGAAAAGAGTCCAAGCTTTTGTTTGGCAAGTATTCATATATTAGAATTGGGTCTTCTCCTTGAATGCAACATCCAAGGAGTTTCACAAGATTCTTGTGCTGCAGCTTTGCAATCAATATAACTTCATTTTTAAATTCTTCTATTCCTTGCGTTGAATTTTTTGATAGTCTTTTCACAGCAACCTCCTGTCCATTAGAGAGCTGACCCTAAAAGCATTTTCAGAAGAGCAAAGGAAGGGTAAGCCTAAGATGATGTGTGAATAAAGGATCTACAAACTATATATATTCTACCTTGTAGACAAAGCCAAAACCACCTTGTCCAATTATGTTCGCTGGAGAGAAATTCTTTGTGGCAGCAATTATGGAGCTGAGATTGAAAAATACAATTTCTGGATGACTTGTGCTACCTCCAACTTCATTCGCCACTAAAGTACCGATGTCGAGCAATTTTCGGTTCCATTTTTTTGTAACTAAAGTACCAATGTCAAACCTCGACAGTTTAAAATTATATGGAATGCCATAAAACAGCATAGACAAAAATGTTTCTTACCCCTTGTCCTCTTCTTCTTGAGCCATAAATAAGAAAATAGAATGATGATGAACCAGGCAGAAACAACAGATACTACTAGAATAGCCAACATGTCCTTCCTTTGAAGAAAACCTTGTGATTTTTGTGAAATAGCTGTATGAATTGGAGAAGAATTTAATTTACATTACTTCAGCTAAGGGTAAATAGAAAAGGTAAATGCATGCAGATTGATATAATACAGAACCTAATTCAATTGCATCAACACGAACATAAATATCGTATCCCTCATCCATGGAATCAACTGAGTCAATTAGTTCTCCAAACCATGCCAAACAACCAGTCCCTCTCCCAGGTAAATCGATGCTTGCAAATGCAGAGCATGAGCAATTACTTTTGCATTCCTTTTCACAATCCATAGGACTTGTGTTCATGCCCACCCACACTGCCCCTGAAGTATCAGGAAGCTTAACATGTGCGACTTGTACAAATCCTTCGACATGCATACACATTGAGGATGATTGTAGTCGCTTCCTGACACACCCCCCTGACCCATCCTTCAGAATATTCCAGTCTCTCGGGGACTTGGGTTTGTATCCAGGTAAGCAATCACATTCAAAACCACGATTAATTTGCTGAGGATCGCACCTGCTATTGATACCACAATGTCCATATGGGTCGCAGACATGCTTAGGAACTGACCTGAGATCTTTCCATTTGCCTTCACTTTCATGCCATATTTGCTGCTTAAAGATTCCTGAATACTCCAACATTATTTTAAAGATAATCGAAGTATCAATAAGAAGATAAGTAACGAATTTCTGATCTTCCCTGTTGACAAAAGTGAAATTTCGAAAATCAACAAAGTTTTTTATGGGCCAGGGGGCACTTCGCCATTGTGGATTTGCACCCTTGTAAAGAACAAATTGCGGTGATCCTTTTGCAATGAGCTGAAGAGAGTAGTCTCCAGTTGCAGGGTCATCTGGTGATCTCCAAGACGTTAGAAACTGCTGAAAACCAGTTTTTTGGTTCAACCCAATTCTCATTCCTGGTAAGTGAGTATCTGTTGGGTAATCAAAGCTCTGCCAAACAACTCTTTTGCTTCTATCTTGGACCAAAATTAAGTTTCCTGAGTCCAAGAGCTGAGGTAAACAAGTATCTGTCACTTCCATAGACACATTTGTAGACCATACTGGAACTTTCTGGTTATTGTCACTATAGAGAATCAAATTTCCATATTGATTAATAGATAAAACTCCTGAAGAACCGTTGATTGGATGGTTCCTGTTTGCAACCCACACCACAGTTTGCTCTCGAACTTTATGAAACCAAATCCCAAGATATCTATACGTGGAATTTCCAGGACTAAAAAATCCTAATGCAAAATTCTCTTCTTTGGAAATTAAAAGATTACCATCTTTAAAGATTTGGTTTATGGCTATGATGTCCCTGGAAAAACAAAAAGTGAAATGGAGGATTAAAAGAAATGCAAACAGAAACAACTGGTGAGAATCCATATTTTTCTCAATGAACTCTTACTAACTTTTTGGTTTTTCATTTTTGCGTTTTAATTTGATAGGATAAGATTATACGAAATCGTCAATTCTCTCTGCCATCCAAAATTGAAAGTTCTAGTTCCTTTGACTTAAATTATGAAAAGAAAAAATAATGGTTTTGCTAGTCCAGGTGTAAGCCCGTGAAGGCCACTGTGATGCAGCTTTCTACTAACGTCTCTTTCTTTCTTTAGGTACAAAAGAAAAGGAGAAAGAAGAAATATAGGAGGGAAAAGAAAAGATAGGTACAAAGAAACAAAAGCAATTAAGTTTTATACTCATTTTGTTTACCTAAAATAATTTGATGAAAAATAACTTACCAAAAAATATTTTCTAAATGAATTATTTTAGGTTATTCACTTATAATATTGAAAATTAATTAAAAATATTAAGATTTTTATTTCATAAGATCATAAAAAATATTAATAATAATAGAAATTTTATAATTTAAAATTCTCATTGTTAAATATGAGAAAAATGTAAAAAAATGTGAATTATGAACGCTGCCGATGGCTGGTGGCCAGCGGTGGTAGCCGGTGGTGATGGTCTGTGGTAACTAGTGACTGGTGGTAGTGACTACGATGATTATAAATTAAAAAAATATTGATTAATAAGATTTGTCAGTGTTCGAAAAATATTTTATTGTCTCGAAAATGGAAAGTTATTTTCCTTAAAAAATGAATTAATTTTCCTTTAACTAGTAAAATATTTTACGTTGATTTATTTTCCTGAATACCCAAACAATGAAAACCTGTGAAAAATATTTCCCTGCAGATTATTTTACGAAAATAAATGAAGGTAAGTCTAGTTTTTTTCCCAATCATAATGGTTTACATAAATACTAAAAATATTTATCTCTTATTTTTTAATTCTTTTTAATCATGAAAAATGAAAATTGTTGGACACAGCCATCATTAAAATGGTCTGGGACGTGGCAGTCAACTACATCAATGCTAAAAAAATTGATCCATACCAGATTTATGGTTCCACTCATTAATTAAATTTATGAAAAACAAATTTTTATTAAAATAAAAATATTTTTTATCGTATATTAAAAAAAAGAATGATGTGAAAATAATATTAAAGCTTTTCTATTTTCATAAGTTCGGTGCATGAGCGAGTTTATAACTCTTAAAGCAATGATAAAAAAAGTGGTGGTTAAAATAATCTGCATGATAGCACTTAATGAAACGTTCTTCACTTAATGCTTAGCGTTCATAATAATTAATAACTTTTTTACTGTTATATTCATTTTTTTTTTACTTTTATATCCATTACTTTTTACAAATTAACTAGCCTTATCAGTAATATAAAATTATTTCCTTTATTTTTTCTATGTCTTTTTATATTTAATAGCTAATCAAAAATAATTTTTTAAGGAATACTTTCACTTTAAAACATTGAATAAACTGCTAACAGCTACTTACTAAGGCTGTTCGGCAATGGATTTTTAAGTATCCAGTCAAAACGCTAAACACTACTTTTATAATGTTCGATAATACAACGTTTAAACTAACTTTTAGATATTAAGATAACATAATATTTAATTTTTAGGATTTTAGGAAAAATTACTCAAATAATTACACACTAGCAAAACAGTTAATTATGCCGAATAGATCCTAAAATAACTTATTAGAACAGCTAATATTATCGAACAAACCCTTTATCCATAGTTTTGTTTTCTTATAAATAGTGGAAATCTGTTATTCATATTTGGAAAAACACATTTTGTTTTTAAAATAAAAATATAAAAGTGTAGATCAAAATATTGAAATAAGAAATTGGCTTTAACTTTTTTTTTTTCTCAATAATCTCTAATCATACTGAATAAGTACGAGTGTGATATGATTGGTCTTTCCACATCCTATAAATAATGTAGAGAGTAGAAAGTCTCGAATTCGAGGTTTCTCCGCTATAATATTTATTATCAATTGGTATTTATATAGTTATTACCAATTTAGTGAATATTATACAAATGACTATATAACCCACGACGTTATTTTGATCTATAGGATCCTCGAATATTAAAAATAATAGATGATAAAACTCATAAAAGTAAAAAAAAAAACAACAAAAGTTAAAAAACAAATTCATGACTAACAAGGTACAAGTTAACATAATAAAGAAATTTTTTTTTCATTGGATAAATTTTTGAGTAAAACAAAGAGAAAGGAACCACAGTCAATCATCTGACTACAAAAAAAAAGTTCAGAAAAAGTCCAAAAGCAAGAGAGATGACAATGGGACTGATCTCTACCATACTTATTTGCATTTATAATGTTAAATTTGTGGTGCTCCAAATTGCTAAAGTAAAGTATTACAAATTCAGATTAACGAATAAGATATAGTTCTGTTCAATAAAATTAGCTATTTTAATAATTATTAATTAATTTAATAGCGTTTAGTAGCTAGTAGTTGTTTGAATAGTTTTTTATAAAATGTTAAAAAGTAAATATTATAAAAGTTAATCTTTTATAAAATGTTATTTTGATCTTTAAAAATTATTCTAAAAATTATGTTGCGAAATATTATAAAAATTTATTATTTTTAATCTGTTAAAATGCTTAAAATTACTTAAAAATTAATCCGGTCAAACCGTGGCAATTTTTATCTGCTTTATCTCTTATTTCCTACCAAAAACAACTAGAAATTTCAAAAGGTTGGTTTCTTCTTCTTCTACGTGTCACATAAGGCTGTGACAGTTATTACCTAATTTGACATACCGTCAAACAAGATATCAGGCTCGGCCAAAGTGACAATAAACTTCTACTTTTACTTTTTCTTCTACATGATTTTCTTGAAATTTCCTTGTAAGTTTGATGGAATATGTAAAGATGGTAGATTATTTATATTCTGCAAATTCTTTCCAAATCAAGTTTTCTTTGAAAATTAGGAAAGATTAATTTGTTCCATCTGGTTTGTTGCATCTACATTAGATTTTATTTTTCAATCTGTTGAAATAAAAATCTTCATGTACTTATATTAATTTAAATTTACTTCATTAAATTAAACGAACATTTCAAATAAAACCTTTCTCATCCTCTAAAAATTATTATAAAAAGTTATATTACTGTACGCTAGGAGTGGCCATATTCTGATTTTTGGGATTAGAATCGTTGTTGTGTAATCGTGTAGAACCGGAACCGTAACCGTAACCGGGAGGTTGCAGTTCACTTCCGATTTTAAGTTTTTTAGAACTGTGAACCAACTGGAATCGAAAATTTTGACAACTAGTTAAAACTATCGATTTCAACCGGTTTCGACATTTTTTTTTCAAAAATTTTTTATCAAAATCTCTAAATTAACCTACTAACAACTATAAGTTGTTATATGACATCTAATTATGTTAAAGGTATTTGTGTAAGTTAGATTTTTTATTTTAAACTTATGTAAATCGCCCGAAAAACAGGTCGGAGAACTGTTCGGAACTATTAAGGAACCAAACCGGAATCGTCAGTTTCCGATTCCAAATAAACCGTCGGTTTTGGAATCGTATGAACCGTGGCTTCCCCCACCAAATGCTATAATTAATAGAGAGAGTTCTGACTTAATCACTAAAATTTAGTTTAAAAGTTGTTGCCGAATAAGGCTTTAATAAAGTAGAGAGTAGACCCAAAATGATATCTAGTTCTACTCCTAATCAATCTTATCCTGCTAGAAGGACAATCCATCAGTATGCCTCCATTGTTCAATGGCTCAAATTACACCTTTTGGAAGAACAAAATGAAAAATTTCATTCAAAATATAGATATTGAAATGTAGAAAAACATTACAGCAGGTCCTATGATGCCTCAGCAAGTGGTTGATGATGTCTTAAGTGCTATAAAGTCACGCTGGCTAGACTGATGAAGACTAGAAGCTTATCCAATTATTAAAATGCAGATTACATATAAAGAAACCAACAAAGAGAAGGATTTGAAAATTAACATTCTAATTCATGACAATGAAATGTCTCATCATAACTTGACAAACTATTTCTCAAATTATGCCAAATTCATATAAATTATAACCTTACAGAAATTGACTCAACATTCGTATTCGTCCTTAATTTTATTGCTTATTGGATATAAATTTTTCATACAATTTCATATTAAACTAATCTTTTTTAGTACACTAAGCCATAAACTAGTGATAAAAATATGTACGGTCTGTCAATAGATTCAGGTTTAAGGGCAATTTGTTATCTTCCAAGAAATGGTTGTCCTCTTCCAACCTATTTTCTCTCGCTTCCAGCCTAAGTGTCACTACTCTAACAAAATCTCTAATAATTCTGACGCAGAGGAAACATAGTAGAAATTTAGAAAATGCAAAAGGCTCTCAAAATGCATTATAAAAAAACCAAAAGAAGCACCTTACCTTACAGAATAGGAAGCAAATCAAAACGTTCCAAAAGATTGGAAAAATTGCGAACATTTTCTTGAATGATTTAGTAAAGAATTATTAGCACAAACTGTCACAAAAAAATATTTCTCAAAATATGGAAGACATATAATAGTATTAGAGGTAAGGATGCTAAATTGATTAACTTTCTTCACACCAAAACCATTCTTTCATTTCATTTATATTTGCTAGAGAAAACAATAGAAACCATTGGTTAATGCTTTCAATTTTTTGGTTCAAAACATAATGAATGTTCTGTTCGTTAATTTTAGTTGTTTTAATAATTATTAGCTATTAGTTATTTAATTTAAAATGACAAAAAAAAGACATTAATTGTTTAATTAGCTAAATTCGGAGAATAAAAACAATGGATATGCTTGTCAAAAAAAAAAAGAATTAAAAGCTAAATGCTAAATATTAAAGTGTTTTATAAAAAGCTCCATCAACTTCTAAAACCTATATTACCAAATGCTACAATTAATAGAGATAAAATTTTAACTTGGTCAAAACATTAAAAGCTAACCCAAAAGTTTTTGCTGAACATGACCGAAATCTTCACTTGCACTAAAATAAAGAGAATGGCATACAACAATTCTATTGTACAAAAAGTTAGTCCAAAACATTTCATTTCAAATAAAGAGAATGGCCATTTTTCATGAAATGAAGAATT